TCTGCAGACTGGAAGCTGCCAATGACAGCAATGAAGGGCTGGCCAGGCGTGCACGTCCATTGATAAAGTGTAAGAACTGGCCATGACCGGCTGTTGTCAAGGCTCTAGTGCCGTGAAAAACGATGGCCAGACGAACTCGGAAACCTGTAGTTAGGTGATATTGGCCTACAACTTCATCCAAAGCAAGGCACCGGTGAAATTTTTGCTTTTTCTGGGGGCCGAAGGGAAGCTTGACGTTCACGGGCTCTCACTGCCACATAGAACTCTCAAGTTGTTACCGAAGAACAGTCTAGGCGCGCTTCCAAAGTAACACGATCCACAACAGAATGTAGCATCTCGCAGTTTTGGTTGATCACATCACAGCGCTAGGACTATGGTTGTCACAAAAAGGAGAAGTGACGACTTAATAAACAAAAGCGCCAAGCTGCCCCACCACAACTTCGCCGGGCAAAACAGTTATCAACGCTGTCTTTCAATTTTCGGTCACACGAGCACAGCTTGTTCACAAGTCTTGGAGCGTCAACACAGCACCACTGTTCACAACGAACATCGTTTCACTCCCGAACAGTACATTGCTCTCAAGTAAATAGAAGCGTACGGGCTAACTAGTGGCGAAGCAAGAACCGAGCGCGTAGTTCATACGTTTCCGTACGTACTTGGGGTCACTCAAGTAACGTGTCAAAACGCTGTCAATCCGAAATGTCGCACAGCACCCAACTGAGAGACTGGAAAGTCAAGCGAACGAACTGTTACCGGCACACAAACACACATTGCAGGCTTTTCGAGTGCTAGTTGCCGTCGATACATCGACGCCGATCCCCGCTTGATAACCACACCGACGCACAGGCTTCGCTGCGCTTCACCGTACACTATTGCACTGCCACAGCTTTCCGCACTGCTCACACGCATCGAAAGAGCTGCTGTAATCACAACACATCCGGTCAAACGCTGAAGTAACTCGTGCGAGAAGCATTTGCTGAAAGTAGCACCGACCGATATGCTGTTTACGACGCCATGTTGTTTTCGACAACTGCACCGCACGTAAGAGAGCTCTTAAAAAGTACTTGCACTATTTTCACGGCGTGAAAAAAATTTCTCTTATGTGCGAGGCGGGTGATATGACGAACAGGACAGGCGTGCCAGATGAAAGAAGTGTTTTGGCAACGTCACGGAGTGAGCTGATGTAGAGGGTATTGCTTCACAACCAATCACAAGCTGTGTCTGTCGGCCAAGCCGTCGTCTGCTCGCGTTTGTCGTCTGCTTCGATCAGAGCATGCGACACGGGATTCGCCTTTGCAACGCTATTATTCTCAGGTCAAGTGGTCGCTGCGTCGCACATAATACATGTCAGTGGCTCGCTCTACCTTTGAATGATGTTCGTGCGCCAAGTTAAATGGCTGGTAATTGACGCAGGGATGAATTCAGCCAAGGTTTGCTCCAGAATCGTGAGGGTTTGCATATTTTCGGTGTCATACAAAGTTACTAGGGTCATTTTATTCCGATTGCTTGCCATATTATCATGGTCCATATCGGTGTCTGAACAGTGAGGGTGAAGATGCATGATTTGTTTGTAGTTCCATGCGTAATCACGCGCACCCCTAATAGGCTTTGGTTTACAAAGTACGCTTTCTTACAGATCGCCCCAAAGTGTATCGACAGCTGTATTTCAGAGATTGCAACCATTGGACAGTTAGAGCCAATGAAAGTACACTAGAGCACATACTTTATGAACCACTCACTGAAAACTTCCTCTCATTTTTATTTCCAATAGCGTGCAAAGAGTGTGCTCCCATTAACCTCTCTGGTGGTAATTTCCACCAATGAGGCAAGGATCTCGAGTCGCACTTTTAATTGGATGAGATGGGGCGCAACACAACAACATAACAAATAAGGTTGATCCTATGTCATGTCGCGTTCGAATGCACCGACCATTCACGTATCACATTGGTTTTCATCCAACCACAAATCTTTACATGCGTAGTTTTATGCCATTGACGCCCAATAGAATTCTTCAATTACTGCGACTTCGAACTTATTGGACGGTGGTGGTTGTCAACACCATCCACTGCGTACATGGGAAACAACACGCGAAGCTCAAAGCGCCGAAAAAAATAAAAACGCACCAGCAAGCATCAGGGAGCCCTTAATGGGCGTGAATTAACTCAAAACCAGCCAGGGCACCAAAGTATACCGCTGCGGCAGCAGGTTCTAAGTAGCCACATTGTTCCTAAGAGTGGTCCGGACCACTCTTGGGATTTTCTCTCAGCCATGCTGTTTTTACGCACAATTTCGCTTCGTGAATCCACTTACGAGCACTTTTCAGTGACGTAAGCAAATATAGCAGCTGCATCACCATCGCTGACATGTTCCCGGGCAGTCACAGCGCGCTTTATTTGCAGTGGCCGATGTGACAACTATGGCCTCTTACGACGTTTTTTCGTTTCGTGAATCGGCTTACGCAACAAAATTTCTCTTGCGCAAAAATGTTTTCGTAAGTGAGTTTTGTGAATCCGGGCCCGGATTCTTAACCTTTGGCTTTAGAAGTTGAACGCGATAGCTGTACCGTATCTGTGATTCGAACTTGACTTAGTGCATACTTTTTATTGTAGGATGTTACTCGAGAAGTTGGAATTTTCGGTTATTACAATGCAACCGATAAAGCTGAAATTGGCTTAATTCAGTGAAGCGTTCGCATGTGACTGCATTCTATGTAATGCGTAGCTTGCTTTAAACCGCGAACATTTATGAGCTTGCAATATTCCCGAGCCTGCTCTGCACCCATTACGTGGTATTAAGGGAGTACGCGCAATAACGCGTATGCCTTTTATAATGTATTGCCGGTTTTAACCCAAGGAGTCTTTATTACATGCTCTGACGCCCACTGGCCATGTACCGCTCTATCACCCAACATTACGGCAACGTTACATATTATATTGTGAAGCCTCGATACAGGACACATCGTTGGTAAAGCAAATTAGTTTGCCCTGTTTACATAAACAAGCAAGCACGTGACTGTCTGCTAGAACTCCTGCTTCCAACACAAATTGTCTGGGTTTGATCCGCTGTCAAATCCAACTGTCAACGTTTATTTCATTTGCATCTTTCTCAATTTTCCTGTCATGAAGAAGAGAATGGTGTTTTTCTTTTGCTCACAGCCATCAACGTCGACGCCGACACCAACGCTGAAACGAAAACAAAAATTTCTGCAAAACGAGCTCATTAACGCTATTGCGTTAAATTTCTTTGATGTGGGACATGAACCGATGTTTGCGCGACCCGAAGGCTATCATCGTAAGAGCTTCGCTATCCAAACGCACTTGCAAAGCCTTGAATAGCATGATGTAGTAAAAGAACGGGAAAGAGGAAACATGGTGAGGAGAAGATGCGAGGATAAAAGTGATGGAGTGGAGGAAGGAAGAGAATACAGCAGAGTATACAAAAAAAGAGGGAACAAAGAAAAAGAAAGGCAGAAAGACACTAAAGAGACGGACTCAAGTAACGGCAATGAAGAAATAGGAGCAATCAAAAAGGATGGAACAAAAAAAAATCCAAGACCGTAGCAGGTAGAAGAAAAAAAACAGAAAAAATTAAACAGGGATAAACATGTAAAAAAGAAAACAAAGAGAACAGAGAGAAATAAAGAAAGAGAAGAAGGAGAACAAGAAAACTAAAGAATAACTGTGCACGTGCTGACCTGCTTCACACTTGCTTCGCACTTGGCACTCCAAGAGCATGCTGCGTTGGTGTTTTGCTTCTACGGGAGGCGTGGGGAGAAGTGGCGTTTACAAAATGTTACAGTTACTCAAAAACGGAGGACTGGGAAGAGTTCGAACCTCTTTTCACCGGTACACTGGCTGCGCCGCTCACAGCACTCGGCGGTTGATTGCATGCGGAAGCGGCGAAATTATTGCGGGTCTCAATATTCACGGCAGATGCGGTGAAACGTCGACCATATATCTAGATATTATTGTGACACAAGTTTGCCACAACTAAGAGGGGGTGCTTTGCGTGAACCGTGTACCTAATTTTTCTGCTCAGATAATCGTGAAATTTTTGAAAGAATGCTACCAAATTCACTAAGCAGCTCCACTTTTTGGCATTGCATATATAGCCCTTAATAGTAGAAATGAGCACTCCTGATGGGAAGAAAAGTGTGCTTTCTGAAAATATTCTTTTAGCAATGCCATACCCAATCAGAATGAGTAGGTATAGTGCGCATCATTGCGTTCATTAGTATGCACGCTTGGTATTTATTTGTTTTTATTTTTATATACTTGAACCCTATGAGGGTTATCGTTCGAGTGAGCTACGAAAGAGCTTCAAAGTATGTGTATATGAGTACACGTGTTGAGCACAAGTTCGAGCCACAACTTCAAAATTTGTCTATATATCTTGCACCGGGCTAAACTACCACGCAGCAATAAAGTTGCCACACGATGCTCGAAACCGTGCAAGGCTGAGTCACTGCAGAGCCAGTGGCACGTTTCCTCGTGTTTATTTAGGCATCTGCAATGAATGCCTGAGTGGTCCTTGAGTACGTGCTGGTTCAAGAAAATCTTCAACCTACGACGCAAGGTAAACCTCGTTTGTAATAGCTGATCTACCAAAGCAGCAGAACTTTCCCAGACTCTTTGATCTGAAATCTTATAGCAAGAAGTATGTGTGAGAGACATTGGGCAAATCCCGTATCATTTTATCCTATCTTATTTATCAGCTGTTCAGAATGCTATGGTGGGAATTTAGCACGTGATAGTTCATTGTAGTCATGATTTTAAATTGACAATGCACAATAAACTTCTACCGTAACGTCTGTGCTGTAAAATATGTAAAACTAGTCGAGAAGCTCTAATTGTCTAAGAACCAAATTTTTCATAATTACTGCCCTCAAACGGTATCTAGGGCTGACTAGCCAACGACCTGTGGACCTGGTTACCTCCTCCGCCTGCCTTTCTGACTGCTTTTCTCTTCCTCTCACTGAACTTTAATATTTCTCTATGCAGGATTTGCACACAGTTGACCTGTCGGACTTCCAAAATTCGGGGACAAATCTGAGTGGTTTTGTGCTGGTAAAGAAAGAAGTGTGGGAGCACGATATTGCTGCAGTGCGAGATGTTTACTCTCGCAGTGGCTTTCATCCCATGTTCCATGGACAAAGGGCCTCTAGAAAGCCTATACGGGTGAGATTGGCAATCTTTTAGATTCCTCAAATATAAAGTGTAAGTATCTACAATGTTTGTAAAAGTTCTGCACAATAATCGTGCTTGCACGACGATGAATACCATACATAGCATGTAAGGTCTTAACACGCACGACCACTTTAGCAAACGTCACTGGTACGTAGGCACACTTTTAAAATCTCCAGCACGTGCTTGTAAAAAATGCATTTTACTTAATAAATGAGAAAGTTGGCAGGCAAATGAGAATAACTTGTTTTTGAAGATGTCGAGGCCATAGAAAACGCATCATCAGGTTCATTGAAGGAATGTAGAAGCGTCTGTTGGACTGCGATGAACGCAGAAAGGCTAGTAACTATTATTATATTACAAAAAATACGCTATATTTTTTCAGCTCTTGCGTTTTCACGAGCTTTAAAAAATTAGAAGGGAGCATCGTGTGAAGGTCTTGAAGCCCAGAGGAAAAGAATAAAACATTGAGTTGCTGGGAACTCATTAGGCAGTTTACAGGCAAGAGGTGCGATTGGCTTCGCATAAGAGTTGCTTCAGAATGCCAGGCACGCTCCTTCTTAAGCCATCTTGTTCATTAAAACTGAAAATATTTTGCAGAAGTTAGGACAGTAGATATACCGTCAATACCGTATTTTAGCGAATACAAGCAGCACCAGCGCATATCACAATTTTTTGCTCATCATTAGAGTTTCTAATTTGCAAGATTCCAATAAATCCTCCGTGCCGAACCTCTATTGATTCTATATTCTGGGCGCTCATTTTATATGCGTAAATTGTCTTACTCATTCTCTTACCTTATATTATACAACTGGGTCTTTACCTGGTGATGTTTTTGTCTGATGAAAAAAAAATGCATGTCATCACTGAAGACCCTGCAGATACGGATAAAAGGCTTTCACGTAATGCATTTTGCCGGCCGTCAAACTTGGTTCTAGATTGTTTTTTAAGGACTGCGTGATACGCCTGTTTTGCACTAAAAAAATTAGGACGTTGCTTTTCCTAAGCGCAAGAAGGAGGATTGTAATTGGAAATATTAGATATGTTTAACCATCGTAGTTCGGGGCATGATACATACTGATAAATTGCATACTAATGTAGTGATAACGCCAGTAAAACGACTAATAAAAAAGCATGAAGCTTTCCAGTTCTACCTTCGGTGGGTCTAAGAATTTTGGTGACACGTCAAGTAGGGTTAGGTAAGAAGGTGACCAGGTTCCACTGTTTTAAATGACAAAAACAGAAATGCCACTACAAATTCTATACTACCGGATGATTCTGCTTCCATCTAGACAGATGCGGCTCTGACACAAGATGCGCTAGACCTTCTGGTACGTGCTGTTCAAAGGCTAGCGTCGGAACGGACGCTTGCTCGACCACCAAGCGTGCAATGCCATGAGCCGCAAGCGTCACGACATAGACCACAGTCGCAGGCCTTTGTCGACGCAGTTAAACAGGTGTGGGCTCCTACTTCGAGCTTCCGAAAATATGCATGTCATTTCCCTGTGTACATTATGTATACAGGCGATTTTGCCACACGTGTTTCAATCTCTCTTAGAAAATTGTAGTTTTAGGGGCGAAGTCCCTCTTAGTCTAACCTTGCCACTTGTCACGCGTAACCAAGAGAAGAAGAGACGAGAAAGAAAAGAAGGCGAAAGAAGTGGATGACTATTTCTCTTCTCATTTCCCAGATGGCGTTACTCTGTCGCTACTCTCCGAAGTGCCGCTACTCTCTGATCGGCTGCTGTGCGCGCTTTGACGGAGCACGCAGAGAACGAGTGTTTCTCTCAGTCTCCTAGTCGCCGTACGTGTCGGATCATTGGTGGAACATGAACGAATCAGAGTGGCGGGCGCTTTGAAGACGAGTGTGCTCAGCTTCCTTGCTCGCGTCTCTGCATTCTCAAACGCGATGTGACGCACGGACGCATGCATAGACGGATGGACACACGGACGGATGGATGGAACGGCGCTTCGCCCTACTTAATTGTCATTCGCTCCGTGGATACACTGTGATTTTTTTATATTTCTTTTGCACAGTTGAATTGTACACTGCGTAACTTTAGGCGAATTCGAACAGCAAGGTATTATTTGGTGTGTTAATTTGCTCGGGTACACGTACAGCGCCACACATATGAAGGACAAAAAAAGCAAGAGACACGAGGGGGACGTGTCATCTGCTTCAATGTGTTTCGTATGTCCCGCACAGCAAGATTACACAAAGATTTAATATTAAGACCTATAAAAAAGGGACAATTACTGATGTTAAGAATAGTACCTTCTGTTTTATGCATTAGAGTAAGATTGAAAAAATTGGGAATCTCAGAACGCGCTAATGTAATCAGTAAGAGAATTTAAGGCGTGTGGCATTGAAGTATTTAGGACTGGCTGAGGTGCTCTTTGGGGTCTTCGCCTGGCACTTGAAATTGACAAAGATGGCTATTCGTTCATGAATAAAAAATGCTCCTTCGTCTTAATTCTACGATGAAATAAAGAAGCTTTCAGCAGTTATTTAGGAATGACTTTTTCAAAATTTCCTGTTTTCAGCTCCCATAAGACCTCCAGACATTTAGGCATGTATCACTAATTATGAATACATATGCATGCCTAATGGATGCCTATTTTCAGCGGTACTATACATAGTCAATGCATTTCAAAGAAGGCACTCGCTATTACTACGCATCTATGCGCGAACCAGGCACGGGAAGAAACACGTTTGACAGGACTGGTGCCTACTACCATGGAATTTTATTCGGAAACTAACAAAAGCATATATAAGATTTTGTTGGCATTCATGACCAACTAGCGCATACACAAGCCTTTCAGTTAACATGTGTCAATCAAAGATCAACCATCAACACAACCAGGCTGGTTCCTAATGTCGTTCACCAAACATCGTTATTATAATAACCTTCATGTCTGTCACGGCACTCCTCGCACATCTGTAAAAGCCGCAAACACTAGGTGTCACTGTGCAGAACACTGCGAAGACACATTTTATTATTTATTGCGATGGATATGTCCCGTCCAAATGCACCAGTTTTGTCAAGCGCTGCTACTGAAATACAAAGGTTAGTAGAGAAATTGAGGCCTATCACGTTCAAAAAGTCACACTAATACCACGCTTTTGATCTGAGCTTCTTTTTAAGTATTTCCTAGTCCACTGTTTTCTCGGTGTGTCGGATATATTTGAACTGTTTTTCTGCCGTGTAACAACAGAACTTCCCTCTGTACAATCAGCGCTAATGAGTTTTGGGAATGTTGAAAATAAGCTCTGAATGGAACAGATAGCTTCTGTCTTAACTGACAGACGTTGTTGCTGCTATCTTGTTTACCTTGTATTAATATCGAAGAATGTACGCTACTTTACAGTGCCGAGCTTCTCGTATTGTTGTTTTTTGCAGCTCTGACACCCTTTGTTGCATTTGAATATAACACATTTCTTTAACGGCTAAGCATAAGAGCTCGAACATTGTTTGTGACTAAGCCAAGTGTGTCAGGCTGTGATACCAGAGGAGGATTATAGAATCGATGTGTAAAAGGATTATGGAAGGGCCCCTCAGCGAATTTTTGCGGGAAAGCCTTATCTTTGCTCACATATACGTGTCTTCCGAAAAGATACTTAGTTTTGAAAGTGGAGAAAGTCAGTAACGACTCATAGCTTGTTTAAAATAACCGCGCAAAACACGAAAACAGAGCATAGAAAGGACACAAGACGAGCGCTGGCGACGAACTAGTAATTGAGGTATAAAAAGAGCCCTGTTTATCTGAAATGGAACTGCATAAAGTTTCTTTATGCAGAGCAGTATGTGCTCTAATTTCATTATTGCTCTTTAAAGCGAAACATTTCTTTGGTGACTTTTGGCATCCCTACCTATCTATCTATCTATCTATATATCTATCTATCTATCTATCTATCTATCTATCTATCTATCTATCTATCTATCTATCTATCTATCTATCTATCTATCTATCTATCTATCTATCTATCTATCTATCTATCTATCTATCTATCTATCTATCTATCTATCTATCTATCTATCTATCTATCTATCTATCTATCTATCTAGCCGCCTACAACTTTAAGCTCTCCTGGTCTTTTCGATAATGGTATCAATACCAAAATTGGTGTGGCATAACATGTCTGTAAAATGAGCATAAACGACTTATAAAACATGAAAGTTGGGACAATTATGTTCAGAATGTCATGATATACATTTCATGGTCTTGCTGCTGTTGCGGTTGTTTCATTCACATGACATGTTGCAAAACTGGAGTAGTGTGACAAGACTGCATGGCGAAGACAAGCGACAGACCCTTATAGAAATCGTGACATGCAAGTCATGCAACAACATGACTACACACCACACATGATGCGCTCGCAGCCGTTTCACTTGCTTCACATATACCAAAGTATATATATACTAAGCATATTTCATTGCATAAAGCAATGAGCAAGTCCTTATGCAGTTTTATTCAGTGCTAACATCATGTATAGAATTCAGGGAGCGCATAAATATGGTATAAATTAACACTTTTGAAAGGTGGTGAAATTATATTTGCTGTGCAGATTTAAGAAGGCGCTGCCCTTTTAACGCTCATCAATGTCTTGCACTCTCCTTATTATGTAGTATGTTTGCACTGAATATGCCCCTTGACAGTTTGAAGCATCCCTTTTTCTACTATTAAGAACTAACAGACAATAATGCCATCGAAAGCATAGGGGATGGTAATATAGGTAATTTTAGTGTAAATTCAAAAAGAAAAGCGGACAGCAGCATAACTTGCCCTTCAAGCTATTTTTTTGTGCACTTATTTTCTTATTTCGGCAAACTTACATTACAATTACTTGAAAGACCTTCCGCTATGCTTTCGATGGCATTATTATCTGTTAGTTCTCAATAGTAGTGTATCTAACAAAACAAACGAGCCCATCAGATTACGCTTCCCTCCGTTTTGTTGCTGCATGTTTTGGCGTGAGAAGTCCGTGGGATGTTTGCCCAATACTTTCAAAAGTTTTGGAGTAGCCGGCCCAGTATTTCTGTATTTAAATCCACACTCATGTTAAATTCGTGCAAGACACGTTCATAGTTTTTAACGAACTAGCCCATTTTCAAGCTTCTCCTCACATCAACAAAACAAAGACATTGCGCCTGCATCATAAGCTGAAAATTGCCAGTAAATATTTGCATAACTCGAAAACATTCCGGCATATTTACGGAGTGAAATCATGAGTGGGGCGAAGCAGCCTCTCGTTCATCAGTCGGTCGGTCGGTCGGTCGGTCGGTTGGTCGGTCGGTCGGTCGGTCGGTCGGTCGGTCGGTCGGTCGGTCGGTCGGCCTGCCTGCCTGCCTGCCTGCCTGCCTGCCTGCCTGCCTGCCTGTCTGTCTGTCTGTCTGTCTGTCTGTCTGTCTGTCTGTCTGTCTGTCTGTCTGTCTGTCTGTCTCTTTGTGAAAGATCTCGAATGATGCGAGTGATGGGAGCGCCATCTAAAGAACAGGTTGCGTACAAGGGGCGGCAACGACAGGCAACTGCGGCACTTAAGCCCTTAAAGAACTTCTACCTTAAAACAAGTGAAACTGTAAAGATGACTCTCTATTCTCCTTCGCTCACCGTATTTCCTTTGCTTGTTGCAGACACGAATTTCAGGACTCACCGGGTCAATTCACATGGATTCGATGGGACGCCGACATAATATTTCTCTGCAAGTTGTCCGGATGAAGCGATCGGGTCTGGCGTCGGTTGGTGCATACTGACTTCTGTTTAGTTTTCTACGTCAACAGTTTTAACGCCAATCAATGTAGACTACTCCATTATACTTCTTGTTTTACTACAGCTGAAAAATAGGAATGTTCTACAGCATAGGCCCTTATGTGCGACCGTGCGCTTAAAAATTAGGCTACCTACAACACACTTTACGTTCAGCACCTCTCAGCATACGGCTCCTCACTTATAAAACACTGGTTCGTCCAATATTGGAATATGCATCTGTTGTGTGGAACTCACACTGAATTTTGGACATCAACAGAATAGAATCTGTTCAGAAGAAAGCTGTACGCCTATTTATCGTCGCTTTGACAGGTATTTTTTACTAAGTTCCCATCTTCCTATCTTACAGCTTACCAGTCTATCTTCCCGTTGACACGCTGAATGTTTAAAGTTTCTTTATACCTTAATTAATTCCCCATAGTTTCCTTTACTGAGCAAATATATAGCACACGCTAGCCCAACGACCACCCAAAATTACCATGAGTTAAACATGTCTACCTTTGCTCATCGTACGATGGCGTTTAAATATAGTTTTTTTGTTCATTCTATTGAATTGTTGAATTATTTGCCTGGTTACGTTCGATCTTTATCACTGGATGAATATTTATTGCATATTACTAACCATTGATGTAGAGCGCACTTGTTATGCTCTTCTATGTATGTATTTGCCTACTCCTGCGATAGCCCTGCGGGGCTGCAGTATGATGAAATAAATATATATATGTAAGGGCATTCAAGATATTTTAAGGGGGAGATGTGAACGATAGCTGTGCATTCATTCATAACGGTACAACACAAACGACGATGTAAAAAGCTAACAAGGTTTGCCAGTTCCGCTCACAATACAAAGATTCTTACCTAATTTTTCGCCGAGTCAATTGTAGAACTTTTGCTTGCTGCATTTTGTTGGAAGGGAGGGGATTTTTAGCATTTTTCCAGCAAACGTAGTTATTTTAGTGATCACCGTGTTCACTAGGACGAGTTTATCCTTTACAGTACGTTTCGACGCCTTAGTAAATGACTTCATGGATGTGCGCATAATTTCCTATGAAGAGGGTACAAAGTGCTTTAGGTGAAGGTTAATCTTCGCACCCATACCCCGTTTTACTATGCTTTTGTATGGAGACATCTTGCACACAACCTCTTTAGGTGACCCCGGAACCACCGCGCAAGCCCACGCTCATTGTTGAGTGTTGAAAAGTAAGTTGGAGAAATGTGAGTAACGGTAGAAGTGCTTTCAATGGAACTGAATGAATTCCCTAGATCTAATATTAGGAAGTCGCCATGTGCATTCGTTTATAGTTCAGAATAATTTCGATGTACAAAACATTTAGGTGTTTTTAAAAGCTTTTCTGTATAAGGAATCTTTTCTTAACCGTAATTAAAATATTCTCGAGTTTGGGGAACTCATTATGTCTCCTCTTAATAAGGACTTTTTTTTTGTGATGAGTATTTCATTGGGGGGTTCGCACAGAGCTCAAGTAGTTGAGGAATGACTTCCAAGCTCTATAACACCTTTGCATCGGACACGACATATGATTTGCCACTTGCATGCACTAACCCAATGTTGAAAATCGTGAGAAATTAAAGAGTATCTAGCACTTTTAGCACAATTAACTCATCACCTCTAGCAGCTGGTAATTTCATGAAAGTGAGCTCTAAAGGGAGAAAAACTGCAGCATTATCACTATTGTTAGCGTGGCGCCGCAAGGCATGAAGTCATCATGTAACAGTGCAAATAAGTTTTTGAAAAACATGAAAAACAATCTATAGTCTGTCTACAATCAAATTCTATCTTAGCTCAACGCTCTTGCAGTCCTACTAAGATAACTTTTTGACCCATGCAATAAAACTTGATCATTCCTGTGACGTCAAACAAGTTTGGTATTATTCAGGTAGATGGCTTTCCCAGAGAGATAAATGTTCGTGTCACGGTGAACGTTCTTCATAAGAATTGGCAGTGAAAGTTAAGAAAAGCTTTTGGAACCACTCCCGAGAAAACAAAAAGTTTGAGTCGGTATAACGAACATTTCAATACTGATCAGAGTAATATTTGTTTACAACATAAACGAGAAAGTATTTACGGCCACAACGTAAACCCTCTGGAACGGCTCTCTTACACATACTAATGGCAGACGTGCCGAAGTTCTGGGGATAGAGTGTTCTTAGGTTAGAACTTGTTTCTTTGTTAGAACACGCCTTATAAATATAGGTGAGGGCGCGAACAGTCTATATTCGGTGGTGGAATAAAATGCTGTGCAAAAGTTGCCACGGTTTCACATTTGGGACATTTTAGAAATCGCTGAATATTTCAGAGGTGTTGCAAACATTTCCTACGACTGCCACTTGCATTCCACAAAGTGATCATGGTCGTTGCTCTACTGCAGTGTTGATTACGTGCGTTTGGCACACATCATCTTTAACTTATAAGTGAGAAGAAAAAAGACAAAGTCATGAGTGAGAACTTGCAGTGAAATGCCATTTTCCTTTAACACGCATAGTCTGCAGCATAAACAGTCTGTGTCTAAGCTCAATGCAATGATTCACCTACGGGTGTTATTTTTGTGTAACTCAGGCATGATATTTGCTTATTGGAATTGGTAATGTCTGTGTTATATGCCTGCTAGTACGAGAAAAATGATTCCGTGTTATGATAATCTGCATTAATCTGAGGGATATCTTGAAGAAAGAATTAGTGGTAACTGCAAGCCATCATGCACAATCTATTAAAAAAAAATTCACGAATAGGAGCCGTAAGCTCCAGTAAAGTTAAACATAGACACGTTTTATTCATGCAAGCTGCAGACTTTATTTGAGTCTGGCAGGCATAAGTTTATACGTCACAGAGGGGGTCCAGCTTCCTTTCACTAAACTCGGGGTCCGTGTGAACATTCCAATTAGAAAAAAATTTTGGTTGCCATACATGCAAAACCAATATGCAGAAAACGGCTAAATACGGGACAGTGAAATAACGCGTCGACTTCTTTGTTTCAGTACCCCGTAGTCTGTTCTGTTTGAATCGGGTTCTTATATTTATTCATCATCGTAATATCAAATACAATTTGTCATTGTTGTCATCAAGTAGCGACAATTTTCCATCCCTCGTATTGACGTCAACGTGGGCGCAGGTCAGTGCTCATGCTTGATGTGGCGTCTAAAGTTTTATTGTTAATAAAATCTGAAGAAAAAAGTTAGAAAACTTGTGTGGCATTTCCGAGTGCCAAACAACTCACGACGCAGTCAGGGGGGGGGGGGTGACCAATCTTATTCTAAATGTCCAGCACCACTTCCGCCTCGACGCAGCTAAGACAATGTCGTCGCATCATTTGTTTTGTTTATTGCCATGTTAGAAGCCATACAAATGAAGTAAAACGTAGTTCTTTATTTTGTTGCATTACGATTCCACGTAGGCTCTTGATAGGAGTACCTTTGTGCTCACACAACACTAAATGTAAAATTAACGCATCATGAGCTTGCTTAGTATATGTCAAGATTATTCTTTATAATTCATCATTAAGTATGCATACTTTGTGTTATAGCAGTATATTGCAAAACAGTGCCTAAATACTATACTGCCATCCGGGACACCAACACGGGCTTGTTCATTCGTCAATTGAATGATATTTACCCTTTGTTCTCAACATTATCTTGATAAAATTTGTAAAATATATTTTGCATATCATCATCGACGAATGAATGGGATGGGACAGGCGTAATCCTCTTTCCTCCAGCCTCGTCCGAAGTTAGCTAATGCACAATATTGAAAGTTCACAAAAAATTCAATGATAAGTAATTATTTTAATAATAAATAGTTCGTTCATTCAAATAGCATTGTGTCCGAGATCGCATTTGCTTATTATTGCAACAGGCTATAATTCCTTGTGTGTGCTAAACATTTTTTTATTGTGGGCAATGCCTATCGCACGGCAAGTTTGTTGTTAGACTGCGCCAGCATATAAATATTTGTGAACGGCACAGTGTGGCCACATTACCTTACCTACCCGGTCGTTTTCTTTTCATTACTGAGGTCGGAACATGGAGTGCCTCCACCGGTCTCACCATGACCCAGACGGAGAAGACGTTCCAGCAAGAAATCTTGAGTGCCCTGAAAAGCAAAACTTTCAGGATTACTACAATATTGGTATGCTCGGAGTCTTCCTAATAAAATGTATCTCATGTCTGGGAGTTTATTTCCTGTTGGTATCACTTACGCTTTTGTCAAGTTTATTGCAGGTCGTCCAAACACCTAATTGTTTTCATACATGTGCCACATGTACACGAAACCAGACCTCCTTTCATTAATACTGACCGCCGTACAGTTTAGAGAAAAAATTGTGCGCTGTAATGATAAACAAGTTAATTAACCTCACAACCTAAGGGCTAAACTTAAAATAAGTGGCTGTACGTTGTGCCTACTTTAAAGAAGCTGTATCTCTTTCAGACATTGTTTACAACATTAGGCCTGAGCATTAGGTTGCAGTTATCCTAATTGCAAGACGAGTCATGCTACCATCTTTTCTACCTTTTGTGCGTGTGTTGTCCTGCGCTTTACAAATGTCACGGTGAATCTCAAACAGACAAAACTTGTTATATTGATGCTTTATTTGAAAGTTGAATGTGGAGGTAAGTCACAATAATTACAACTAAAGAATGTTATAAGTCTCAACTGGAAAACTCACAAGGTAACAATAGAGCTAATGTTATTTTTTGGTCATCTTAACAGACAAAGTGTGAAAGTGAGTGTCCATATATTTTTTCGAGTATATTTGTGGACCAGAGATGTTGAAGACATGACATATTGCCTCGACAGCATTTTCAAAGCCAACTGAATAGCGTTGTACAAATTGTTTGTAGAAGCTTCAAGTGATTTTTTTCTCGTCACAGAATGCGCCTTACGTTATGGAAAAAGGGCCATCAAAGAAGATGGTAGGTAATGATCGCTTCGAGGGATTCTGCGTGGACCTGCTCCGAGAAATGTCCCGGCTCCTGGGCTTTCACTACCAGTTGCGGCTTGTCAGAGATGGTGCCTACGGCATCCGAGACTCCCACGGTCATTGGAATGGCATGGTCCGTGAACTACTCGACATGGTAAGACCACAAACGTTTCTTCGCCTACGTGACTTCACTTATAAGACTGCTGCGGGTACGAAGCACCTTTTTGTAAGCAATACATAAAAAAATCGAATAGTTCGTGGACATTACAATGCTTTGAAAGTAAAAAGAGAAGCCGGTACTGCGCGATATCGTGCCTCTTCATGCACGAAAAAAACAGCTTGTGTAAAAAATTGATGTACACAATAGAAGGAAGCTTTACATCATGCCATTTCTTGGCATTGACGCTTGTGTTCAGTATTCTTGTACGGCTTATGTTTCTCTTTGGCGGTCCTGATGAGGAGAAATACTTTAGAGGCTAGTGTTTTCCGTATGCTGTGGTCGCATGCTGTCGAAGTCTAAAATATTAATGTCTGCGATTGAAGTCCCGAAACAACAATACAAAAATAAGGGACGCCGTATTAGAGGGCAGGAGTAATGGAGGTAAAGTCAAGAATGGAATAGTGATCTGTATCATAGAGAGCGCGTGCTCCTGCCAATGAAGTGCCTTCTTCCCGTTGATGTTCAATTGCCTTGACGATGATAAGTCCAGAGCTCTGAAGGAACCTCGGCTGTGGTGTGCGGCCGTATGCTGTGGTCGCTTGCTATACGCAGGAGATACCGCGTTTACAAATGAAAAAAGAAAGAGAAAGCAAGTGAGAAATAGAAATCGAGAAGAAAAATGGTAAGAAAAATAAAAGAAGCCACAAAGAGAAAACTCAATGGATTGAGAGGAAGACAAAATAAACATAAATAAACAGCGGGAAACTCATAAACACAAAAAATGTGGCTGATTCGCCTATCTAGGAATCGCTGTAGCACGAAACTAAAGCATCTCTTCTTAAACGTAGTTTAGCGCCTATTGTGCATTGTTTCAGAAACAGAAAGAAATCAGGAAGTCATGGCAAGAACAGCAAGCAGCTTCTTTTGTATTTTTTTTTCTGCATTTATTCGTACATACTTTTCAACGTCGCTTCCATGACGGAAGTACGCCAGCACAGCCATGGTCGACCCCGGCATCAAACAGTTAAGTGTTAAAATTTAAGGAAACAAGGCCACCAGCCCAACCTCGCACGCCCTTCAGGCTTCGCCCTACTCATGTGAAATTTCCTGAATTTCACCAAAAACTTTTCTGTTGGCGTGCATTGGTTCATAATTTTGAAATGAATGGCGTGTTTAATAACTGCAGTGCTTATTTCAATATTAAAATTCGCAATAGTGCATTGGTGCTAAGCGTCTGGTGAATGTTTCAACTTACCTGTTGTGTAGGAACTTCTTTTCAAGGTGATATTGCCTAATTCTGTGCACGCTGCTGACTTTCATTTGCTGTGTGCACTATCTTATATTGGTTTTACTACTATTATATTGAATAAAGAGTGAAATGTCATTGCTTCTATGTAAATAAAAAAAAAATGTCGTAGATGGAAAGCTGTACATATGCTTTGTGCCGCAGTCGTGTAGTGGTTATGATATATATACGTGGCTGCTTACCCGAGAGCCGCGAATTTAATCCTGACCTCAGTGGTCTCACTTACGTCAAGCTAAACTAATGACAGAGACCTGCATGCTGTGGGATACTAGTGTACATTAAATACCTCCAGATGGTGGGAATTTTCAGAGCTTTCCACTATGGCATCACACATAAATGTATCGTGATATTAGCGTGTTAAACCCTGAGAGAATTTTATATATTTTTATATCCCACATTTATATCAATATATTTTTATATTTTTATATTTAGGCTGCTCTGTGGCCTTTTCTTTTATGCAGCATTTGTGGCAATTTAACGAAATAGCGCTCTCTCCTTGCAAGTATATAGATGTCCTTTGTTTGGTTCTATATGCCACACGAAATGTGGATGGAGTCCGAGAATGTTCGTATACCACATAATAAATGCACGTTTAAGACTATTGTAAAAATACTTCTACACTCGTTCACTTCATATAATGCTGCATTAGCTACAAAGCAGTGTCTAATGCCTGTTCAATTAACGTACGTTGTTGACGTGCTCATAACTTCTGCGTTCTTAAAAAGACCAGAAAAAATATTCCTTGATTTGTGTTCATAGTAGATGTAGAGGTCATACGTAACATCTGCACCAATGATGCAATGAGCCGATGGGTCAAGACGCTTGGTCTACAAAGGCGAAATTGTTAATGGGCTCGCGTCGCAGAAATTTTGGTATCGGTGTCGGCGTCTTTGGTTGTTAGCGGAAAATCAGCGTTGTACATCACCCATAATTCTGGATAGAGGCAAATGAGTTAATGAAATTTTTGAGGCTTGAGTGAGGTTCCAACACAGACCACTTTTGTGGCAAGCAGGTAGTCTGCTACCAAGTCACGTTATTTGTTCGAAAGCTGTGAAAAAGTTAAAAAGAAATTTACTACAGGAATGTCATGTAGCTAGGAGTATCCTTACCGCGTCATACATTGGGTTACAGAAGCGCATACTCACACCACGTGTCGATATATGTTATTTATGAACGAGTGGGCATTTCAAACGTCTGCTCATCACATAGCGCACTGTCATGTCCTAACGTCAGCATCAGCTATAAAATATTCAACAAAGTTTGCAACTCTGTCAGTTAACGTGTGGCCTTAGTGCGTACCCGTATAGGGCCCTTTCCTAATTCACAAAATGAGTGAATAAAGTTCTGTGGAAGCCGTGCAGATATTTTGCAGCAGGCATTCTGAAATAGTTTGAAACAGCCATTGGCAAGTGAGCCGTCAATCGATTGCTTACGGAGCGCACCAAGAATCGACGGCAGGCTCTGTAGTATTTGAGAAGCAGAAGCGCATGGGGCTCGACTACGCTATAGAGATCTACTCTCGAAGGCGAGGCTTTCTATAGCAAAACAGGTGTGGTCGCCTGCTAACTTGAGCGCCTTACTCTACATTGGTGACCCAAACTTTTCATAAATCCGACGATGAGTGTGACACACGCAATATGAAAGAAATATCAATGGTAAAGCCCTGCTCTGGAGGCATGATAACGCTTTTGATGCTCACTTGCGAGAACCTTGCTGTACCGAACGGGAAAGGAAATTAAAAGCGACCACCACAAGAATTTATTTGAATCTTTGTTACTTTCCAAATGGTGATCGATGCACTGCATAGCAACAGCTGGTAAGACATGTATCAGCACCTCTGCTGTTGCGTAGCGTATGTTTATCAGCTCGCGACTGCTTCTGCGCAGAGCCGATAAGACGAGCGGACGAGACGACGGTGAGTTAAACAAGGTTTATATACAGCATATATACAGAGGCGTTACAATTTCGGCACTGGGGCCGACAGAGACTCGAAGAGCTGAACTCTCCTCTCTAACACATAGGTCAGCCTTTCGCCTAAGACCGCTGACTCACACACATGTCGGCTTTCCGACATGGGGACTCCTCTCTCTAGGACTGCCGATCGCGACACGCCGCAGGGCTTCTTTTATTTACACCGGGTCCAACCAAAGTGTCCAATCAGAAGCGCCGCTGGTCGTCAGAGCAGATTCCGCCAATGGGGGTCGCCGCGCCATGCGTCAGACCACCCGACACGCGGCCGCCGGCTCGCTGTCACGTGCGCCGCTGACTCACTGCACATGGGCCAGAGGGGCGCCGCGCGTGTTCACGCCGTCGAGGTGATCGCGCCAGGCAGACTGCGGGCTGGCCTTGACCCAGATTGCCTTTTTCCGAGGCACGGACGTTTGACGAGGACTCGCTGGCATAACAGCACCCCCGCCGCCAGACAATGCACCGGAAAGACGAGCTGCTTCCACGGGGCTCGGATGTCAGGTGCGCTCGTTCGCCAGGTCCCTCCAGGTTCGCCTCCAGGGCCATGGGGAGAATACAGCTCCAAACTGTTCCGGGAACACATCCCATTTTTGACGACAGATCCCAGCTCCACTGGCTCGTCGTCACAACTTGCTGGCCAACTTCGCTCGTCTCTTCTGACCATCTTCGGTTTCAGCACTTGTCGATGGTTCTGCAACTTGCTAAGAACGGTTAGACAACAGACAACACACGACACAAGCAAGTGCCCTCGGTCACCCGACAGAACACCAGACAAAGTATAGTACAACATATATCTCCGTGTCTATCGGAATTTGGTTCCCTCTACATCAAGAGGCACATGTGGGACACAAGACTCTTAAAATGACAACTCAATATTTTTTTTTTCCACGTACAACAACGTAACGAATAAGAATACCACAAAGTTGGCCCCTTGAGATCACTCTGAACGAGAGCGCTCAGCCCAGGTCGTGATGAGGTCAAAATTTTGCCCCGAATCGCCAGCCAGAAACCGAAAGGTTGAGAAGGTACTAACTAAACGCACTGCTCAATGCACCTGCATTAACGTTTACCTTTCCCTTTTTTTTTTCTTTAGCGAACGTCAAAGTTGCGCTGTGGAGCAACATGCTCCACCTCAGTAACCGGCCACTTTTAGGCGACGATACCTATGCGGCACCAAGAGCGGCTCACACTTTCGACGTTGCACAGGGGAACAACGATACGGCTTGCTACTGATTGACTCCTCACCGCTTAGCTCGATATCGTGTTCGATCACCCTCGTGTTTCCGGGGCGGTCCGAAAACACGTCTTCAAACTCGGAACCAATCTTTCTCGGGTCCTCCTTTTGGACTTCACTTAATCTAGGCTCTAGGTTCAGCTGTTCCCAGATTACTTTCGATCCCCCTTCGATCACCTCACTAGAACTCAAATTTTCTGCTTCCTCTTCCTCTGAAGCCTTCAACAGCTGATTTACGACCGCTTGATGTTGAACATTGGGTTTCATCAAGTTGTAAATTTTGTTCTGCCGCCTTCCTACTTGCACCTCATAAGTTGTATCGCAAGGCTTCGATAATACTTTGGCGGGCCCTTCCCAATCAACCTCAAGCTTGTTCCTTTTGGATGGCTGCAGCCGCATTACCTGATTATCAACTTCAAAAGCGCGCTTCTTCCCCGATTTCTCGTAGTGCTCCTTCGACAGCACTTTTGCCGCGTTTTTCTGGCTTTCCACGAGCGCTTCAATTTGGCTTTCCACTAGCGCTTCAATCGAGAGATCCTCACGCTGCCCTCGAATGAGCGTCTCTCGATCAACTCTCGGCAGCTCGCTCCAACTTTCCGCTACAGGCGAGAGCGTTGCAACCCTCTCGCTCTGACTCAATGGCGCCACGTCGTCTCCCCCAGCGCATACCGCGCCGGCCGCTCCCGCGACGGGCCGCTCGCGTGGCTGCTCACATGACTCATGCGGAAAATTTCCTTTCTGGGGTTCCGTCGACCCGCCGACAAGGTCACTTGAGAGTTCACCGCATGGAACCAAGTCAAGCTTCCGCGAAAGCTTTCGCGCTTGCGATCGCGTGAGAGCCATGCACGCTAAGTTGGGGAAGAACGATTTGCCCTGATCTTTGAGAAGCTGCTCTGAGTTGTTGGAGAATAGATAAGGAAAACGATCATTTAGCGCGGCAGACACAGCTGCTTCGGTGCAAAGCTCACCGAACGGGCCTTCAATGACAACCGTGGCGATTGGTAAGCGAACACTCTGCTCCTCGGCGACTTGCCTGATCCACGCGCATTCTCCTGTAAAGTCATCCGGAGACACCAATGAAGGATGGACAACGTCCATGGTTGCCGCTGAGTCTCTAAGTGCTCGGCACGTTTTCTCATTCACCCTAATTTCTTGGAGATACGGCTCCAACAACCGCATGTTTTTTTCTGATTCTCGGATTGTTGCGAAGGCAAACTTTTCCTGACAGTTTCTCGCGATGTGTCCTTCCTTTTTGCAGTTGTAGCAGATTAGCGGCTTCCGTTTGTTTTCCGGTTCTAATGCCTGTGTGGTAGAAACCTCACTCGATCTCTCCGCTTCTGTTTGCCCTTCCCCTACACTGTCCTTCGTAAGAGACGGGTCCTTTTTGAAATTACGGTGCGGAACGGGTTTCCGTTGATCAGGTTTCCTTGAAAAGCCCTCTTTCTTTTCATCCTTTTCAACGCGCGCTGCCCTGCTATGCAACTTTCGGCGAGTATAATACTCCTCAGCTAACTCAGCTGCCTTGTTCAGCTGTACTTCACCAAGTTTGTCCTGCAGCCAAAGTTTGACATCCTCCTCGATGCAGCGGTAGAATTGCTCCAATGCAACGCATTCCACCACTTTATCGCGGTCGTCATAAACACCTTCGCCCTTGAGCCATTCAATCAAATCGGCTTTAAGACGAAACGCGAAGTCAACGTGTGACTCATTCCCCTTTTTAGCATACCGGAACCTTTGCCTGAAAGCCTCGGGTGACAACTTATAACGTCTCAAGAGCACTTCCTTAACCTCGTCATAGCTCTCAAACGCTTCCCTAGACAAGCAAGTTATCGCGTCGGACACTTCGCCGGGAAGAAGAGCTAGCAGGTTCCGCGCCCAAAGAGACCGCTCCAAAGCATTTCGCTCACAGACGTGTTCAAACTTGACGAGATACTTCGCCATGTCCTCGCCTACTACGAACGGTGGCAGTTGGTCCCGAATTCTGAAACCGCTGACCTGAATCGTCGGAGAAGCTACGCTAGGCGCCTGCGAACACTGTAGGATTGCCAATTCTAGTCGTTTCAACTCTAGGCGCTCTTGTCTCTCGGCCTCCTCGCGCTCGCGACGTTCGCGCCTTTCAACTTCTTCACGTTCGCGAGCTTCTACTTCTCGCCTTTCAGCCTCCTCACGGCGTGCTTTGATATCCACCCAGGCCTCATCGACTTCCTCAGCCGACACTCCCTCATCCTTCATGATCTCAAGGATCGCTTGCTTTCGTTTCGCACGGCCCAAAGTAATGCCGAGTTCCTCACAAATTTCGATGAGTTCCTTCACTTTAAGGTTCTCCATCGTTCACACTAGCCTCTTGCTGTTTCCCCTGTTAAGAATCTACTTGCCGTACCCACTATAAGCCTACTAGCAAGACGCGCAAGCAATTTTTCACACTCCCGTGTTTACCCCCTCCGCATTAACTTTGGTTTCAAAGCGCTTCGACTTGGCTTGAAACGATCAAAGCTCACTTCAATGCTTCACACAGCCCTTCTCTAAACTACTACAACCTGAGCTAGAGTAGTCTGGTGAACTGAGGGGAAAACATCAGGCACTCACCGCATCGATGTCGCTGACGCCGGCCGATCCCGCAGCTGCCAACCACTGTTGCGTAGCGTATGTTTATCAGCTCGCGACTGCTTCTGCGCAGAGCCGATAAGACGAGCGGACGAGACGACGGTGAGTTAAACAAGGTTTATATACAGCATATATACAGAGGCGTTACAATTTCGGCACTGGGGCCGACAGAGACTCGAAGAGCTGAACTCTCCTCTCTAACACATAGGTCAGCCTTTCGCCTAAGACCGCTGACTCACACACATGTCGGCTTTCCGACATGGGGACTCCTCTCTCTAGGACTGCCGATCGCGACACGCCGCAGGGCTTCTTTTATTTACACCGGGTCCAACCAAAGTGTCCAATCAGAAGCGCCGCTGGTCGTCAGAGCAGATTCCGCCAATGGGGGTCGCCGCGCCATGCGTCAGACCACCCGACACGCGGCCGCCGGCTCGCTGTCACGTGCGCCGCTGACTCACTGCACATTGGCCAGAGGGGCGCCGCGCGTGTTCACGCCGTCGAGGTGATCGCGCCAGGCAGACTGCGGGCTGGCCTTGACCCAGATTGCCTTTTTCCGAGGCACGGACGTTTGACGAGGACTCGCTGGCATAACACTGCATAGCTTTTAATGAAACATGAACCATCTACGAATTTCCGTCTGTGACCTGCGGAAGTGTTGTCTAATCTTGTGAACTTTCTATGCTTGCTCAAGTCTGAAAATTCTGCACCACTTCGCAACGAGGCTTCATTGAAATATGGCGCCCTGTCCCCTTATGTTGGTCTGCTGGGACGTTTTTGTTTCCATTATTGGGCTGTACCAACGATGAACCAATATACGATAAAAATACTCAGTCAATCTTCAACACTTCTGGACTCCTTTGGCATTAGTTATTCTCTTATCGCGCTGCTCTCATGAATCTGGGCTTCGTCGACTATTTCTGCCGTTTTATGCTAACTAGATACGCATGTCGTTAATCAAATACGTACTGAGCATTGAATTTTGGTCCTATAGCTAAATCCCAGTTGAAAGACACAGTAACAAGATATTTATTGTTACTTTTTCTGCTTGCCATACGGCACCTAAAGTATCGTTTCGCATTAACTATGTACGAAGAAAACGTAATCTCTGCAGTTTCAGACTTCCGAAAACCCAGCGCACAGGCTGCTGCGGGGTTCTTTGAAAAAAAAATAATATATGTACCTCTCTTTGCAAGATAATAAGGTTCGAAACCATACAACGTTTAAATATGTTTTTTTTTATTTCAATCTTGTCTAAAGACGTAAGAATACACTTTAATTGCCGTAAATATTCAGGAAATTCAGTTTTTTTATCTTCCCAAGCGCTGTTAGATTGAGTATTTCTAATACGCTTCAATACGATGCTAATACATGAAAAAAAAACTCTTTCTGCATTTGGCATATTACGCAAAGACTGTATACTAATGCCGAATACACCACTGAAAAGAAAGCTTCTCGATCTTACATTGACGTGTTTTTGTACGATGTTTTCGGTGCTTGTGCCGGTAGATGAAAAAAGACTCGTAGCTTGTATTCAGGGACACGTTTCCATTGTTATTACCGAAAATTCGAAACTTGAAACCCTTGACGGGTGTGTGAACCTGTTTACTGACAGCCTGATTTACACGAGAGTTGTGATGGGAATACCAATACATATGAAAAGCCAGCACCAAAATCAATTTAAGGTATGGTCCACTTGCACTAGTTTTTGCTGACTGAGAAGTCAAGGCAGCTTTGCACTAGTGGTTCCACCTATGGTGAAAGTGGGTATGCACGCTCCATCATTTCAATGTTTTAGTTTCTAGTTTTTACACTTCGTTATACTCGTAATTTGTACTTGAGGTAATCGTACGAAACACGGGCTATAAATGAGCTGCTTATTTATTTAATCACAGGAGGCTGACTTGGCGATTGGTGACCTGACCATCACCTACGCCCGCGAAGCAGTCATTGATTTCACCATGCCTTTCATGACTCTCGGAGTGGGCCTTCTCTACCGGAAACCCCAACATGACCACTCGCTGCTCTTCTTCCTGTCCCCACTGTCCACAGATGTGTGGTTGTGTGTAGCGGTAGCCTACGTAGTGGTCAGCTTGTTGCTCTGCTGCGTGGCTCGCGCGGGAGGGGCCCGCTGGAGAAGCAGCTACGTCTCGACTGGACATTGCTGCTGGTCGTGCCAGGGAAGACCCATTTGTGGCGGGGGCGGTGGATATGTCGCCCGCAGTGATTGCGGTAGTACGGGTGTCGATGTCGTGATGGCCGGCCGATCTGGTGAGTTGCGGTCACGTCATGGCGAACGGATTTTCAGTGATGAGAGAAAACGTGATGAAGTGAGAACATTCAAGAGCCAGTTCACTCTCCTAAACAGTCTATGGTTCATTATGAGTGCAATCATGAGACAAGGCTGTGACACTTTCCCGAGGTAAGTTCTTTTCTTAATATTATAACACGTGTCGTAAACTTGAAGCAAAAAAAAAAGTTTTCATGTGAGCACACGCTGAGCATATTCTGCAGTATTTTTCGTGGTATTCTTCGTGTAAATGATACCGTCTATGTCATCCTCGTATTGAACAGCCTGTAGCCTACTGTCAAAATTATTGCACTGATTTAGTGCTTATCGTTCGGTGCAAAGCAGTTGAAGTCGTCGGTGATCCGTGTAGAATGCAGAGCGCAAAGGCAACGTTTCAAAAAGTTCATTGGGTGCTCCGTTACGTATTCACAAACAGAAGCAAGGAAATGTGTATAAAGTTGTGTGGTTTTAATGCTAAAGCTCAACGGCAGTGTATACATTTCAACCGACTGGCATATCACTGAAATGATTCTTTGCATAAAAAGTGGAGCGACATGTCTTATGGAAAAGTACGAGCCACGAAATCTAAAGCTAGAGATGCCTGAGATTTGCCTAAGAGCAGAATGCGAAGCCGTAAACTGAACCATAAAATTAAATTTAGAGCAGTTGAAATGACTTGAAATTGAGAATGTTGTCTGAAGCAACGTAACCTGATAAATTTTTTACTGGGTGCTATTTTCACAAAAGTATGTCATAATGAGTTTCAGTGCCACTGGAGTGATACAGCGCAGCCTAGACTGAGCATGTATAATGATGTTGGCGGCACATGGCAAACTCAAAAGAGAGTGACGACTCAATACACTGGGCATTGCAATACCCCTTTCTCTGCTTCAGACCTGCCATGAAGACGCAGATTGGAAAATGCTCCTCGATGCAGTATCTTACGCCACCATTTTTAAACATAAAATGTGCACTTTCTAAGGAAAGAGCACGCCGCAATCGTTCCATCATCTTTATCGCTATTACGCGCCGAGGTTGCTTTTGGGGAAGATTTCGACCCGGTGCGTTTGCAGTGATGCGGGCAATGGCATGGAACGTGCTCGGATAAAAGCAGCACCTACAAAGAACACATTTGTTTTGATATCGTGCGTTGCTTCATAGCATCCTTACCTCCCCTGCCACTACACGCTACGTGGAGTGCCTATCATGCTACGTCCACCATGATTTTTGATGTCAGCGCAGCCAATATCAAGCACAAGCTTAAGTCGTAACGGTGCAATCGCATTAATTAGGCTAGGGTTGCAGCGGTGACTTACAGCAATTGCACATCTGCGTTTCACTGTTTCATCAAGAGGACTACAGTATTTTTCAGCATTGACTGCCTCCGCATGTACCCTTATACTTCGCTGCCTAATCGCGATTCTACGATTACCATGACAACGTGGTAGCGCAAAGAAACCGCACAAGGGACACAAACTAGCGCAAACAAAAACTCGGGTTAAATCGTAGCAGAAACATATGCAAATTAAAAAAAACGAGGACAAATAAGTTACAAGAGAAAGGAACAGCGTCACGTATGGTCGTCAGGTGTAGTCGACGAGAGCAATCTCACAATCTAAAAGTGATAAAGAGGGGGAACTGGCACAAATATCAGTGTTTCTCTTTATGAAAGATGCTTCAGCGACCTCCTAAACCTCGCGTCATGATGAGCGTATAAAATAGAAGTGCATGAAAATGTTGGTGTGGAACCACGCTTTGCGCAGTGTTGAGACAAATGGAAACTGTAGGCGCAGGCCTTAGCGCGCTGTAATGTTCTCGAAAGCGCACATTCACGCAGCATCCAGTCTGTCCGGTATATAGCCTGGTGCAAGACAATGAAATGCAATGAACCACATTCATTGGGCAGTTATTAAAGTTATTAGCATGATTGGCTGTGTTTGTTTGTGTCCTTTGTCCCGTTTGTTCGCGCTGCTAAGATGTCATAACGTGCTTCCAAGATTGTGCACAAAGAGCACACGCACGTCTTTTCTTCAGTGGTTGGTTCGTGTTTGCTGAGAAACGAGTCCCGTTTAGAACCTGTTGAACGCATTTGTTGTATGAAAAGCAATATTATTGTCAATTTTATGCTTGCCGTTGGGAAAGCCGGACATGGCATATAACAAAACAATATTGCTCGTGTAAGAGCATTTTTAGGTTCCAGAAATATTTAGATTACAATATCGCCCATGCCATTGCGACTGCGGCATGTTTTCTGAAGAAGAGGTTTATACTCCTATTTCCTATTTATTTATTTGATTCTTTTAGTTCAGATGACGCTGCAAGGGGTGAACGTCAGCAGTGTTAGTGAAACTCCCAATGGTATCCAGAAAAAAAATTGGCCCCATAACTGCACGTTAATCTGCAAATGTCATCGAAAGACGACAGTCTTTCGTGTGGAGAGAGTGAACAAGACATTTATTTGATGCTCTGCGCAAGAATATTGGTGGATGGTATTCTGGAGACGGTGCATTAGAGTGCCTCGAGCGGGCAGCGGAGGCGAACGAATGCATCAAGTCACGTCACACGTGAGACATGAGTGCCATCTGGCAGTTTTCTTAGAAAACAAAGCGCGTGGCATTAAGACGAGTGTGCGCGCCCATCTCAGAGGTTATAAGGTGTAGAACGCAAGGCGACGGGTAGGTGCCACTACCGTCTCGTCCTAGCAAAGCGTTGGAAACACTCTCTTTTCTGTGCAAGCGTTGCATGGTCAGCGCAGCGTGATAAGCGCTACAGTCCTTAAAATTACTTATGTATGTCTTTTCTAGTAAAAGACGCACATGCAGAATATATACATGTTGTTATGGTGCCCCAGGAATACGCAATATTTGCTTTTTAATTGACAATTGCACAAGCATGAACGCTCTACCTTGAGCAACACTGGTGGGCGCTTCGGAAGGGGTCAGCCGTTTCAAATACCGAATGCCATTAAAAGTGGACAAACAGACAAGTGTACAGACAGACAGACCAAACTTTTTGCGTCGATGGTCTCCAAGAAAGACTATCGTCTTTAATAAAGTGCCCGATTCAGCGACATGAGTTACCAATCCGTAAGAAATATCGCCTGATGAACCACTATATCTTGCAGGTCAGCCTCCACACGAATTCTCGTTGCTGCTTGGTGGCTGTTTTCGTTCGTACTGGTATCGTCATACACCGCCAACCTGGCGTCCTTCTTGACTCGAGAAAGGCTCCAGTCACCAATAGAAAGCGTTGAAGACTTGGCAAAGCAGACCGAGGTTCTGTATGGCTGTGTCCGCTCTGGATCTACACAGGCTTTCTTCAAGGTATGAGCTCGTTTCTGATCTCTATGCCTAATGTTTTCAAATGAAAGTTCATATGCATGAACTTCTCGAAAGTTGTTTGTGCCTCGCGAATTTTAGGGTAGAATGAAAAAAAAAATTATTGCAGAGCTCGTCCTACTTGTTCATGATGAACATAGGGCCACCAAAGCGGAGCACACAAGGAAAACAGACACATGAACTTTTTACTTCACTCTTGTTTGCTTGGTTTCATAGAGCGGAACTCCGAAATTCTTTGCCAGCAAAATTTTCAGTAGGCAGTTTAGTAAAATTTGTTTGTAATATTAGGTTATAGATTGAATAATCCATAAACGTCGTGTGAACTAAGCTTAAAAGTGAAGATGCCAAATCAACAGGCAACATCGAAGTAGAAATGCATGTGCACTGTTACTACTACGCGCGGAGGACATAATGGTGTTTACAAACTATAATTGGTATATACCTTTTTCATGCAGTATATGTTAATGTTGCATATATGTAACATACATCTGCGGTTCTATCCTAGAAGCGAATTTCGTTGTCGTGCAACCACGACAAGACCACACGCTTCTACAATCGGTGGCCTAGCAATCAGATATTGAGCCTGATTGATATTAGGGAAAGAGCGTGGTCCTGATTACTTCATACGGAATTATCTGCTCGGAATTTCGACGTTTTCGCAAGCACGTCATAAAAATTTGGCCATTGACGGCGCAGCACTTTTGAGCGTGGTACATTTTGAGTGTTTGTGACACACACATCAAATGGTGCGCTTTATGCGCAGGATTCTAAACACGAGACATACGAGAGGATGTGGAATGTCATGAAAGACGACCTGGTATCGTCCAACACCGAGGGCGTTGAGCGGGTAGAGCGTGGAGGCTACGCCTTTCTGATGGAATCAGCCAGCATAGAGTATGTGGCTCAGCGTCGATGCGAACTCACACAGCTCAGAGGGCTTCTGGATTCAAAGGGATATGGTATTGCGATGCCACAAGGTATGTGATAAAATTTCTTTATCGTTTCTCCTGATGTAAAACGTGCACGTACATATTACTAAACATTGACTAGATTAATATGTGAAAATAATACGACGAGCTTGAGTTATGGTTGCACTGCTTATTTATGAACTAACGTCACACAAAATGATATATAGGCCTTACTGTCAGGAGGTTAATGAACAGACAAGACTGCGGAAAAAAAACTGATCGGTTTCGTCACTAGGGCAAAAGAAATGAGTGCAAAACATTTTAATATCCCGTGGAGACCGACAAGCATCTCGATATATTGAGCACGTCGATAGGGCACTAAGAAGGATGGCTGATAACGCAAAGGTCTAAGATGAACAAGTGTTATCTCGTTACGCCTTTGTATTTGAGGAATGCGCTGAAAAATGTCTGCGATGCAGAAGACGACGCTCTTGGATTTTTTTCAACATGAAAGTGTTCTATGCCGGTTTCCACTAAGACTTCATTGACTTATCTCCGTCAAGGATATGACGTTGTAAGAATAACGTCACCACATGAGAAAGAAAGAAGCATTCAAGAAGTTTTTTCATTGATCATCAAACCTCTGACTCTTGGGGAAACGGTAAAAACCACCATATGATTATAAGAGACGCCGTAGTGGAGGGCTTCAGAAATTTCGACCACCTGGGGTTCTTTAACATGCATCCAAATCTGAGCACACGGGCGTACAACAATTCCGCCGCCATCGGAAATAAAACCGCCACAGCCGGTATTCGAACCCGCGACCTGCGGGTCAGCAGCAGAGTACCTTAGCCACTAGAACACCACGGCGGGGCAAGGTGTTGAGGCAAAAGCTGGGCTTGGTGTGAATACGCCCTATGTCTTTCACACATTCTCGTTAACTCCGCGCTTTTTGTAGGGGAACCTCGGAGGTGCTGCCATGTGTGAGTGCTTAAAATAAGCAATGGAGCACAACGCAGTTTAAGCATGGCATTCAAGATTGTGCACTGGCGTGCAGTCTTGGAGGCAATGATTAAATCTTCACGTTAGCAGTGAACAACCCTGACCGAAGGAGCATCGGAGAGTCACCGACGTAGTTATGTCTTTTTTTCTTTCGCTGGAAATAACTTTATGTATACGTTCTGTACAGGATGCGGCCACCTGCCGTGATAATCCCACGTTGGGACTGGGAGGTCAAGCCTCGCTTCTTGTTAGCGTGTAACCTCTCATTGTTGAAGTCGTGCAGCTTTTACACGCATGTTACATGCATGATACGTTCCCCACCACCGACTACTTCATTTGTGATAGCAGGGGTCACTTTCATAAAGCTGCTGCTGTAAGCAATGCAGCAAGGGAACGATGTCGACGGGTGAACGTCGCGCCTAGGTGGAGCGCTACTGAGACCAGCAGGACGTAGAACGCCGGCTCGCGTCCTTGGCTCAAGCTGCGAACCTTTGTGTCCCGCGTTGCTGAAGGGCAGTTTATATGCGTGACGGCTCGCGTAGGTTTCACGAGCGCACACCGTGCTATTCTTTTTCATAACGGAAGATGCTTGAAAACGCGCATAAAGAATAACAGTGCTTAGTGTGTGCTTGTTAATGTCATCTTTGTGCGCGAAAAACGATACGATGTGTTCAGGTATATGTCGAAAAAGTCAGCAGAGTCCCCGTACCTGGAAATTAACGTTATGCGGAGCATGCGGAGGGAAGGTGACTGTGTTGCATCTTTTTTATTGAGCAACACGTCATGAATTGACGTCCCGCTGCGGTGGTCTAGTGGCTAAGACATTCGGCTGCTGACCCGCAGGTCGCGTGATCGAACTCCGGCTGCTACGGCTGCATTTCCAATGGCGGCGGAACTAGTGTAGGCCCAAGTGCTCAGATTTTGGTGCACGTTAAAGAACCGCTGGTGGTCGAAAGTTCCGGAGCCTTCCACTACGGCGTCTCTCATAATCACATGGTGGTTTCGGGACGTTAAACAACACATACCATTCAATTATTCATGAAATGACGCTAAATATATGTAGAAATGTTGCACACGCAGACATATGTTGAAGAGTTGCGGATGTTCATATAGCCTGTTGTTTGCACTTGCGCAACGATGCCAACTGGAACATGCCTATTAGCATCACACACAACCTGTTTCGAAGCACTCATGCTCGCGAGAATGCTGTGCCTGGACACTGCAACATAAATCGACTTCAGCGCATGGCAACTTACCACAATTGACGTTAACCCAACGTGACGGCTGTATCAAAGAAATACATAAGTAATGTTTATAAAATTACGTAGGCAATACTGCAACCACTATTGGCGTTTCACGAAGATTAGCATCTATTTGATAGTATTCTCGATACCTGGCACTGATACACAAGAAGGCAATCATTGAGATGCTGGTGAGAGAAAAAGTAGAAGAATTGAGAGTAATCCTTTAGAATATATTCGAGGCTCTGAATCGTGTAACCGACAGCAGCTTTGATAAAATGAAGGATAATCTTACTTGTATTATAAAAAGTGTGCAAGAGAATTTTGAGGTGCAGTCACTAGACAGAACACTGGCAAACTATCTGAGGAGCCAAAAATGTCCTTAAAAGATGCCAAATCATGAAAGCGAAAATAGAACCATCAAATATAGCTAGTGGAGATTTCGAAGTTATTCAATAGGCGTAAGGTAGCCGACACCAGAAAATATAACATGGAGAGAACAGAGCAGGCTGTAAAAAGTGGCAGGAGCCGAAAAGCTGTGAAGGCTAACATGTGCATGGGCGAAAATTGGATGTATGCATAACAAAGAAGTAAGGAAATGTCATATTTATTATATATAGGATAGCTGGAGTGGCGGAAAAGTTCTACAGAGATCTGCACGGAAGCCAAAACAACCAGAAAGATATCGTAAGAAGAAATACTAACTCAGAGAAATTCAACATCTTACCAGTAACAACAGGGCAAGTACGGAAAACCCTACAAGGAATCAAACTGCTGGTAAGGATAAGGTAACAATAGACCTATTGAAAGATAGCAGAGAAATTTTTCACTGGCCACCTTACAATCGCAGTCTCTATTGGCGTGAAGGGTACCAAAATCTTAGAGGAACACCAACATATTAATGCATAAGAAAGGAGATGTCCTGGGCGTGAAAAATACAGGCTCATCAGCACACTGTTAAAAATAATTCTTTGTTTACCAACTATTTACAAAAATAATAGGTAATAGACTGAAGGTGACAGAAGACTTCAATCAAACAAATGACCAAGAAGGATTTTGTACAGCTAGACTTTTCCGCAATAGACAACATTTATAGTGCCAACCAGCTGATAGAGAAATGCACGGAATACAACCAACTCCTATGCATAGCCTTCACAGATTACGAGAAGCTGTTTAACTCATTCGAAACATCAGCAGTAATGTAGGAACCGTGGATTAGGCACATCGACGAACCTTGCATAAATATGCTGAAAGAAATCTACAGTGGAGGCACAGCCACCATAGTTTTCCACAAAAATGCGACAAAACCCTAATAAAGAAGGGTGTAAGACAGGGAGACGCGATCTCTCCAATGCTAGTCACCACATGTTTACAGGCGGTTTTTCAGGGTACTAGATATACACGAGTTAGAACTAAGAGTTAATGGGAAGTATCCTATTAACCTGTGACTAGCTAATAAAATAGCCTTGATCAGTTAATCAGGGGATTATTTACAGCTCAAGATTACGGGATTGGACACGGAAAGTAAAAGAGTAGGTCTGAAAATTATTGTGCACAAAACTAAAGCGTTCCGCAACAGTCTCGGCAGAAAAGAGCGCACTGTGAAAGGCAGAGAGACGCTGGAAGTTTTAAATGAATATCTACTTGGGACAGGAAGTAACCGTGGAGTCAAACCTTGAAAATAAAATAAATAGAAGAATAAAAAAAGGGTGGATCCCATTCGGCAAGTATTTTCGAGTCATGTATGATATTCTACTACTAACCAACAAGAGCAATATTTTTGCCGGTACTTACCTACGGAGCGGAAACCTGGAGGGTTACAGAGATGGTTCTGTTAAATGGAGGACGACGCAACGACCGATGGAAAGGAAAATGATCGGAGAAACCTTGAGAGAGAAGAACAGAGCAGAGTGGGTCAGGAACCAAACCGGGGTATATAATATAATAGTTGAAATTAAGAAGAAGAAATAGACAAGGGCCGGGCACGTAGCACGTAGGCAGGGTAATCGCTGTTCATAAAGGATAACTGACTGAATTCTGAGTGAAGGTAAGTGCTCCAAGGGGATGCAGAAAGGTACGTGGGACGATGGCATTAAAATGTTCGCCGCTATACCGTGACAGCCGAAGGCACAAGACCAAGTTTATTGGCGGATCTTGGGAAAGTTTTTTGCCCTGCAGTGGACATGCATCCGTCTGTCTGTCCGTCCGTGCTTCCATTCATCTGTACATCCGTGTCTGTCCAATTTTGCGTCCGAAGAGCCGGACGGCAGCATGGACAGATGAACGGAAGGGTGCACGAATTGACGTGCCGATGAACGGACACATGGACAGACGCTTCATCCCACTCATCATAGTTTACTTCATGAGTATGCTGTGAAAACCACTAACGCCACTTAGATTTTCTCCCAACGCTCGGCTTACTATTACAGTGATCGCTCCATATACCATAGTTTCGGTATACGGTTTCATTCGCAGATAGAATATGGGGCGATTTCTAGTTGACTTTAAGATTTATTTGAAAATTTTGGGGCACATATTGCACTTTATTGTTTGCGTCGCTTATTTAGGGAAGCCTCAACTACCTATCGACAGTGTTTTGTGACCTTGGCTAGAAAGTGTGGCAGGGTGCCCTAAAATAACCTATATATGAAAGAATTTCATTCAGTCTTATTTACTGTTGCCGTGAAGACACCTTGCCGACTTTGATGGGACGACATTAACTAAATATAGCCGTCCACTTGCACTGTTTGTATGCATGATTAATCGTTATGTCACTATTCGGAGACCAGTACGCTTGAAACGCAATCTGCAGTTGCGTCAAAAGTCACATGTGCTTGTGACAATTTAATCGTAAAAACACGTGTCACAAACTTCAAGAAACGCATTTTCGCAACTGCCAGCAGGCAAGAAGATGTGAATGTGCATGCGCAGACTAGCATCTCGTATAGCGAAAATTGCTGGCTTGGTAAAAAACAGAAATAAAGGAATATTTGAAACTGAACTTTTGCTACGGGCCCACCTAATTTGAAGGTCTCCCTCGTGCAATGGTCCCCTGGTGCTGAATAACAAATTTAGTGTGGCACTGTGAATGTACAGAGCATGGGTTGAACTTCTAGCTATGACAGTTGCATTACCACGAGAGCGAATGACAAGAATACTCATGTTTTAAGATTTGTGTGCATGATAAGGCACTCTACACTCTAACAACTACATACCATAGTGCTGCACTATTTTTGGGAGAGTATTTTCTTGTCCCATCTTTCATTCTCAATCCCAGAGTAAATCACCTTTTTTGAGGCAAAGTTTAGTTATTCTCCCAGAAAGGTTTAAGGTATCTCACCTGAAAAGAGTAACCTCACCCGAAGTGCTCTTAATGCCTTAATTTCTTCATATCACAAGTAATGCCCATGATCTGTCTTGACATTTTGTAATTTAGATATGCAGATTTGAGTGTTTCAGCACGCGCGACAACCAAACAGATTGTAATTCATGTGTTTGTTTTGTGTCTCGCAGGGTGGCAACGTCGATATTACTTGTTTCGCTATAAACAAAGATTAGTGTAGCCGAAGTTTTGTGTGGTGCTCGAACTGACTCGCTGAGGGGTTAGCCATTTATGTGTACAGGAAACATTGTACTTCTGGACTGCACACTGAAACAATGTCGTTTTCATCATTCATGATATATTTTCGGTCATTCTTGTTCAACTCGTGTGACTATAAAGCAATATAACTTCGCTGTAGATGTACCATACATTAGGCTTATGGAAGCATACTCTGCGTTTAACGTTCATAGCGAGAAACATGAATTACAAAATAACAACAAAGCATTATCTGTTTCAATTTAGCTTCGAGAAAGACCAATTTATCGAGATCATAATATTTTATGTAACAACATGAATACACAGCCAGAAACGCCGATTTTTTATTCAAGTGCATTCTGGTGCACGAAAATTCACTTAGAAAGCTGGAAGCGCTGTTTTTTGTAGTATTTGTCTTTAATGCCACAACAAAAAATAAAATACTTTTTACTGCATATATGGTCGGGTATTAAGTAGTGATAGTCCACTCGTGGTGCGCAGGTGCTTCCATATATATAGATTAGGAGCGTCAGTATAACCAGGTTTTACTCTGACATGCTTTAGGAGTATGTGTGAATTCCACTCGCTTCAACAAATGTAAAGTATAAAGCAGTTTCACTCTCTCTTTTCATACAGAGTGAAAACGCATTTCACTTTATCTGATGCTTTGCGAAAGTAGAACACCACTTCTCGTTTCTGGCACATCTGTATTACCTTCCACAGTCTTTAGAGTGTACTTGATAGTAGTCCGCAATTACGGCGTGGGTCATTAACAAGGTTGTTGTCATCCAGAAAACACCTGCAGGTATTGTTATTGTTAGGTGTCCATTACTATGCGTACCTCCATGAATACGCTTCCAGCATAACCGTTTGGCAGCCTAGTCTTAATTCAGGCTCTCTTGTAATAAAGATTCGAAAGTCCTCTTTTTTACAAATGTACAGTTACTACAGAGTGTCTCTAATTACTAAGTGAAACAAATATATTTAGGTATACGTTGAGGGTTTAATGAAAATGGACTTACGAACAGCTGCTCGCACTAATTCGATTTGGGTATCGCGTTGATGACACGCCATCACAAGCTGGGCCCATTCTTCCAACGCAGGTTCTCCGTACCGTAGCGTACTCTCATCAACTATTCTAAGTCTTCAAGAAAGCGGGACATTACAAACGCTCAAGGACCGCTGGTGGAAGGTCAACGACCCAGCGAGGCGATGTCCTGATGACCAGGCGGCGTCCAGGACCGACGCGGTGAGCGAGCTAGGCCTGCCCAAGGTGGGCGGCGTGTTCGTCGTACTGCTTGCCGGACTTGGTCTCGCTTGTCTAATCGCCTTCGCCGAGTTCTTCTTCAAGGCGTGTTCATCGCGCGAAAAGCGTCGCAATGCTTCGACAGGTGCCTCGACATCGGGACAACCGGTAGATGTGAGTGTCCTCAACGCTCTCTTTTGCTTTTCACGCAAGCGCGAACGCATAAGCTGCTCTGCTACTCTCATGCCATGAAGTTGTTTTGGTCTTGATAGAATTTGTCTTTGTTTCTGTTCCCATTGTTGCAATTCACACCTGAAGGAGTACGTACAATAATATTTATTTAGGTTATTTGGTTCGTTCATGATTGGCTCAATCATTTGTGATTAGTTGGTTGGTTATTCATTAGTCAGTCAGTCAGTCAGTCAGTACGTCAGTCAGTTATTCAGTCAGTCAATCAGTCCGTTAGTTCCAATACCTTGAACCCTCCAGTTTTGGGTTTTCACATTAGGGCTGAGAAAGGGTTTATAATAGCATTTGTTCTTCAGCATCTCAAAACACGGGCATGCGAGCCAGAGATAGAGAGAGAGAATAAAAATGAAAGAAAGGTAGGGAGTATAAGCATTGCTGAGTCTGGTATGCTGCCTTGCACTGGAGAGGGAGTAAGGGGAATAAAAGTTAGATAGGGAGAAGGATAGAAAAGTCACTCATTCAGTCGGCAAATGTTTATTTATCTTCATTTTTATATTAAGGTCTATGCTACGCGTCGCTCGCTAACCACAATATTTCATTCCGACTAGTACAGTTTTTTAACCTTGCTGCGTTAGTTTGATTTAACTCATCAGTATAGCGATGAATCGGTGATCATCAAATAATAGTTACGTTGTGTGTATGAGTGATTTTTTGAGAGCTGTCTTATAACGCATTGCTACCGTTTGTAGCTCCACATATAAAGGACTGAGGTGTAGGAGTGGCGTAATATTCAGTGTTAAAACTACGATAAAAATATGAGACGTGAAATAGCGGTAGTCCCTTAATTAATTTTGAGCACCTGTTGTGTTTAGAGTGCACTTTTATAAGAACAGTGGTGTTATTTGAATTTCGCCTTCATTTAGACGTGGTGGTCATGACCTTGAGTATAATCTGTGCCATTGACATAATTCAATGGTGTTTGCAGGTTTGTTGTTTTATTATCTTTTTTGAGGAAACTGCGTATATCTTTTCCAGTTTAGTACTTTTGCAAATTTATGCCAATGACAACAAGAAAAAAAAACGGTAGTATTGGGTGACTGTCATAAGGAAACGCCAATTTGTTTTCCTTCTTCCAATTTCTTTGCAGATCAATGACAAGTACCTCCTGTAGGTGGCCTCATAAAGTGGATAAACGGATTGTTCAAAAGTTTCTACCAATGCTGCCAACGTCGACAAATAGAGCTGAAGTGTCTCCTTTAAAAACTGTCGACTGTATGCAACTGCCACATCATTTTTTTTTTCAGGGAACTACGCGAGACCTTAAGTACAAAGAACGTTTAATAAATTTTTACACATTCCGTATCTTTTTGCCTTCATGGATTTTCTAGAATTGAAGTTAAACTGATCTGAAGATTTATGCGGCTTCTGTCAGGAAGTTGTCGCCTAACCATACAAGAAAATGTGTTGTTATCATGACAAGAGCCTATGTATATAAGAAAAATAAGTGACAGCTAAGGATGGCTGAGAATGGAGATTTGAAGTTCTCTCACAAAATATAATATTACAAAATATAACTACCGAAGCGTCTAAGGAAGTCTGAGACTGGGCGTTGTGCTTTGTTGTGTAGTCTCTTAATCTGCCTGTGTCGGTGATATTCAGTATTTCGCGTGCTTTATCAATGAAAACGGCATTTCTGTAACATTACTTCCTGCTTCGATTCATTACTAGAACCGCAAGCAGCTAGTAGTAGTAGCCTTGCTGGTGTCAAGATTGTTAATGTATACTAAGAGTATAAGCAAAATTGCCCAAAAATATCGTGCATTTGTAGCCTTGTAGGCACGTGTGCTTAGATTCGGGTGCACGTTAAAGAACCCCAGGTGGTCGAAATTTCCAAAGCCCTCCACTACAACGTCTCTCATAATCATATGGTAATTTTGGGACGTTACACCCTACATATCAATCAATCATTTGTAGACCTGTTCATAACAACCCAATTTTAAGGGTGTAAATGGGGTGTTTCGAAGGTGTTTCATTCATGAACACCTCAAATTGAAAAATAGAGCGTTAAAACGGTGTTCATATAGGTGATTTCAATGTGTACACCGCTTTTCACACCTTTCAGGGTGTAAAATTTTTTAAAGGGCATGAATACATCTTCACAGCCCGTTTACAACGATGCACTGACTATGAGAACACCTTACTGGATGATGCCCATACGTCAACACATTTTATGTATTTTCTGCTGCCCACCCGCTCTTGCGTATGGCGTATATATGCAAACATTTATTGCGTGGCAAAAAGCAAAAAAAAAATAAAGTACCTTAGCCCGTACCACACTATAATGACAGGAAGAACGCGATAAGTGGTACTGAGACACACGGGGCCGGCTCGCGCACACCGGTAGACAATCCGGTGTTACGGTCTTTAAGGCTAAATATTTTGTTTCCGTATGCACGTGCTCCACTATGTGTACAGATTTCATTGTTGTAAAAGCTTCAATATTACAACCCCTCCCCCCTTCAAGGCGATCAAGCAAGATTTCGCGCAATCTCTTTTTAGAGGGTTGCAATCTTGCTGCCGGTTCTATATGCATAGGGACTCGTGGTTTTGCTCCTCACTAGATGACGCGAGAAGAGTCATTGATTGATCTTGCTGTCGCTGGAATGTGCTGAAAGCAGCCGTCGGAGCGCGCTGGCCACACACTCACGCGTTAGTTAAAAAAAAATGACGGCTGTACACGTTTTTGCGCACAAAGAATAAATGCATTTTCACAGATGACATACTAAAATTGCAGAATTATATAAAGGTGTGACATTGGTCCCACGAGACTGAGCTATGATTTTGAGGTCAGGTTCCACCAACTGAACAATGAATTTATTTTATCTAGTGAAAGTGAGCTCGTATTATTGCCATAAGAACATAAAAAGGATTATCAGAGATAATAAAATTTTCTGAACTTACGTCGCGATGGCTGTTCCAGTTATGTGAAAGGCGGTGTTTTTTATTGCGATAGTAAATATATGAACACTCTCGGCTGTATTTTGCCGCCCGCGTCGGCATGGGCGTCAATGTCTTGCACCGTATATGTATACGTATCTATATATATGAAAACGCTAGAACGAACAAAAAAATCGCAGGAAAAAGACCGTGGTGCGCGGAATCGAACGTGGGACCTGTGCGTCGTGAATTCGAGGCGTTAACCAGTACTTTTTTGGGTGAACAAACGGCAAGCTATTCATACCTACTACTTTACTGATGTTAGCGGGCATCTCGGGGAGGAAGGGGGGACTATCGTGTTTTCAGCATTATCAGCAAAGTGGCGCAGTGAGCGCGCGGTGGCGCACATCTCTCACGCGTAATTTAGCCCGCGTAGAGAATAATAGGGTGTACGCTCGATCACACACCTTTATCTTGCAGTGGGGGAATTTTACGTCTTGGCTATCCTTCGGGTTCCATCGGAACAATTCTCTTGTAGTTACCGGGCGCACAAAGGTCACTGCAGTCGTTGCGCAGCTTCCGTTAGCGAAAAGGGCGCGCTTTTTCGACACAGCGAAGTAACAACCGAGACGTTTATTCGCGTTATTCTGTAACTGTGAGTACGTTTCGTGCGTCATTTGTGTGTGAGAAACGCGGGGCATCTTTCAATGTGCTTGCCACTCTGCGCGTGTCCTTCCACTTTGTTGCTATCGAGTTCATTGCTTCGCCTTTGCGGCAAAGCTGTGACTTTTTTAAGTAGGCGTCCCAGTTTTTACAACATACTGAGAATCGTGGAGCTGCAGTGCACCACCATGCACTTCTTCGCTTTGACCTTCCCTGAGAAAAGTGCTTTTATACTCCCATTTTGAAATTTCCACTACGAATGGTTTGCGGTAGTTATATATTGTTTCATGTAATCGACGTGGCTTTATGATAAGCGGTCCAATTTCCCCTCCCCGAGTGGGAGATGGCGTGTATAGCCAGCAGTATTATACGCGCTCTGGTCGCTAAACGGGCCGTGGTTCACATACAGAAAAGGATTCGCGTTTCACCCTCACATCGCGCCTCTCTACTCCAGTGGGCTTACACGCCCGAACAATGTATTATTCAATTCGATTCAATTCAATTTTTATTTATTTTCACACTTGAAAGAGAGGGGACAGGGATAAAAGCGACTACAGGTTGGCAGAGGTGCTGCCCCTTTACAAATGACAGCAACACATTGCAGAGAAAAAATAAGCAACACATTAAAAACAAAGTAATACGTGATAACAATACAGTTTCAATAAAGAACAAAACGTTTGTATGCATCAATATATATTTATATATGTAGAAACAATAAAATATTTGCTGTGAACAGAAATACGGATTTCATGAATTTGCATTTTTATACCCGATACACAAGTATAAATATGCAGGATGATGTACGCACGTGCATACGCCTTTTGGTAACATGTTATACACAACCTAAATGCGAAGGTAAGGTAAAAAGGAAAGAAATATACATTATTCACAATAATAGGAATCTGTGTGGCCCGACTGACGAAATTGTCTTATTTCTTGATTGGAGTTGCACAAAGGTTCAAAATCAGCCATTGTAAGCTTATTAATTGTAACTAGCACAGTATATTTATCAATTGTTCATCATATTTGATTCGAGGAGTATGGACATGCCATTTTTTCTCGCCTAGTATGTAGAATACTGTGGTTTACATTGAAATCAGCCAGCGAAAGTATAATATAATTATTAGACTTTAGGTATGACTTGTAAGGTAAAATAAGCATTAATCGTACAAAAAGAACACAGGTAGAATATGAAGCTTTACGAACATATCTGTCTGGCTCCTCCATATTTTTGTTCGATGCTGCTTACCTAGCAGTAGATACGCGCCTCTAAGGAACTCAGCAGGTTTGGATATATGTAGTGTATCAGTTGACAAATGCAACGCAATCGGTGAATGCTATACAGTAAGACTTTATATATAGTCAGGCTGTTTTAAGGAAACATTTCAAGTATGTTTTTTTGATAAATATGTTTTTGCAAGGAGCACTCCAATATGGGCAAGTAAACATCGAAGCGTGGCCTCTTGGCGGACTTCTGCAATATAATGAATTTGAGAGTTATAATTCCCAAAATACAGGAGGAAAACAAATTTCAAGAAGAAAAAGTCAATGAGCTTACTGGTATTTGCTTCCGAAAAAATTTTTTCCCATTTTTTTTTGCTTTCGCCGCAACTCTGCTGCGTCTTCTGCGCAGGCCTGGTGTTTTTTTTACTTGTACAATTACGCTGAAACGTGACGCATTCTAATTTCATAAATACATTTGGCACAAGAGCTATTTATCCTGACCATCGTCTATTCGATGCAAAAAAAAGCAAAACTCCCCACCACTATCACGACACCACTTGTTTCTTAGCAACTAGTTTCAGATACTTCAGCCAGCTTCGAATGCACGAACCGCCACCAGCCCGCTTGCTGGACACTTCCTCGCCCCACACATGACTTCAGGGCCAGGTGCGCCACTTCTTTCCATATAAAGGCAGCACGCAGTAGCGCCGTCCAACTATGGGGAGACCAAAGCCAAAAAAGCTGCTACACTGGGAATCACAGCGCGCTTCCAAGCGAGACTACTGGGTTCGATTGCTTCAGCGTGGTATCGCGTTCCCAAGCGAGACTACTGGTCTCGACTCATTAAGCGTGGTAGCGCGCTTCTAAGCGATAATACTGGACTCGACTAATTTAGCATGGTAGCGCATTTCGAAGCGAGATTACTGGGCTAGACTCGTTTAGCGTGGAAGCGCGTTTTGAAGCGAGACTACTGGGCTCGACTTGTTTAGCGTGGTAGCGCGCTTCCAAGCGAGACTGCTAGGCTCGACTGGTTTAGTGTGGTCATCGACGTAAAGCAGCCGAAACAGTGAGATTCAACTGTGACTAACTGTGCTTGAACTTGGCATCACAACACATATATTCCTGTACCTTAAAACTACTTGGTCTAACTTCGGTTCATTTGGCATCACCTTGTACGCCAAGACCAGACAGGAACCGATTAGCGCCACTACGCCTTGGTCCTGTAGGGCAAGCTACGCAGTTTTTTCCTTGAATTTGAAATGGGATATGAAGATTGTGCCAACTCATCAGAAATTGTTTACTTTGCTTGGATAGACAGAAAATACAAAACGTAGGAGAAATACGGAG